GGCTAGCTGTGTTGGGCTGCATTAGACTGAGCACTGATTTCAGTCTAACACAGGGAGCATACTTAAAGAGAGAGCTCAGAGATGACTCCATTATTGGGCCGATGGCCATTTATTGCCCAATCAGCAGTTTGTCACTACTATATTCCTTAAATTTAATATAGCAAATGGTGTCACCATCTTGACAATGCAGTGTGAGTTTAGGGGTTCTTGTTCCAGATGACAAAAATGGATTCCTATGAGACTGCCCACTACAATATGTTTTTAATGTGATTTGCTGCAGGCAGAATTTCTTACTGCAGTGCTTGCCGATGACAAAAAGGAGTGTAGACAATGCATTCCTATAACAGTATTAAAAGGTCTCAAGAGAGGGTTCATATTGAAACGAAAGAGGTGCATTTATTGAAATCAACTTTTTAAATAGGAATCTCACAACTACATCTTTGCTTTCAATCTTTCACACAATGAAGGGGAAATATCTAATGGCAATGATCAATTCTGAAACGGAATATAATTGAAGCTTCAGAAAATTGTCTTTAGCTGAAATCACTTCACTCTGCCGCACTGATAACCAAGAGCCATTTTATTTGTGCAATCATATTTTCCTTTGATTAGAGAGTTTCTTGATTACTGATGTGTGTGTTGATGAAAGAAGCAGTTAAAAATACTCTTGCCATAAATAAGCTTTATCCTATATGTTTTACTAGCAGACCTCTACAGAAAGGGCATTTAAATAGCATACTGATTTTGCAAATTAACAAAAAGGAATCTAAAAAAAACAGATTTTTAAGCCAACAAGCCACAGATACAATTAGCCAAACTGTGTTTTTCTTTTGATCATTCTTATTCAGAATTTTTTTGGTAGAGCACAGAATTCATGGTTCCATCAATTATGGAAAGTCGTCCAGGTCAAGAAGCTGCAAAGACCATCACACCACCACCACCATATTTGACTAGTGGTATCATGTTCTTTTTATGAAATGCTGTTTTATGCCAGATGGGACAGACACCTCCCCAAAAAAATCTAATTATATCTCATGAGTCCGCAAAAGTCTTGGGAATAATAAAGATGTTTTTTGGCAACTGTGAGAAGAGCCTTTTTTTTGCAATTTTTAGTCAGCAATGACTTTCACCTTAGGTCTCTCCTATGGATGCATTTTTGCCCAGTCTCATTCTTCTTGGTGAATCATGAACACTGACCTTAACTGAGGCAAGTGAGGCCTGCAGTTCTTTAGATGTTGTTCTGGGTTATTTTATGACCTCCTGGGACCCATCGTTGTGCTCTTGGAAATTTTGGTAGTCTGGCTGCTCCTGGGAAGGTTCACCATTGATCCAAGTTATCTCTATTTGTGGATAATGGCTTTTAACCCTTTCTAGACTGACAAATGTCAATTATTTTGTTTTTCATCTGTTTTTGAATTTCTCTAGATTGCGGCATGATGTGTTGCTTTTTTGGATATTTTAGCGTGCTTCACTTTGCCAGACAGCTTCTATTTAAATGATTTCTTGATTCAATAGGTTTGGTAGTAATCACAGCTGAGGGTGGAAAGTGAAATTTAACTTAGCTTTCCTAAAAAATGTGGTTAATTACAGTTCATTCATGATCTAGCAAGGGGGGAGTTAAATTTTCACATAGGGCTAGGCAGGTTTGGACAATTTTTTTTTCCTAAATAAATGAAATCATCATTTAAAAAATGCATTTTGCATTTACTCAGGTTATCTTTGTGTAATATTAATATTTGTCTGATGATCTGAACCATTTAAGTGTGACAAATATGCAAAAGAAACAAATCAGGAAGGGGGCAAATACTTTTTTTTACAGCACTGTGTAAGCAAGGCCCTACCTGTGATTAGTACATTTTATTACTATACCTCCTAACTTTCGAACTTGTAACAGAAGTACAGTCTAGGAAAGATAGGGATGTGTGGTGCATGTAGTGCACCACAGTAGCAAGTTGGCATGCCTAAATTACAACGAATATTGGCTTAATAGAGTTTGAGCCTACTCTCGGTTTAAGCCACACAGTTATGCAACATTCCTCATACTCACAAAATACTCCTTAAAGTGGAACTACATTGCATCTAAGTACCACAAACTAAAAACAATATTTAATTCATTTTTAATATTCAAAGCAATCTCCCACATCCATCCAAGGCTTCATGCTTTATTTTGTTCAAAAATTAATTTAAAAAACAACCCCTAGCATTTTTGGCGATGGCCAACTCGGGTAAGGGCAGATGATTCATTTAGCATTTACTTCCTAGAATTCATCTACCCTTAGCTCATGCATGCAGGCAGGGGGTGTGCTTAGCTGAGAAAATCCCTTCTGAAGATTCCTGGGATGTATAATATCATTTGCCTAGGACAATAAAAAATAAATCACAGCATATATAATACAGCAGTTAGGAGCAAGTAGTGTACAGCAAAGTGTGTAGGATGAAGATATCATGGTATTGGTGGTCAGTGTAGTGATGTTTCCCCTCTAATAGCATTAGTGTTCATTGGGAGGCAGTTGGGCACACTTAAATTACCTGACTCCTGTGCTGCGTCCAACACCACCGCCTGAGAAGTGCCGTCACTTCCACAACGTTGCTTGATTCTGTCAAGCAGGCAATCACTTTGGCCAGCAGTATGTGCATAAGTATGTGTTCCAGCACTCGAATCTCGGACATAGCCCTCATTCATTGGAAAGGGGGATTTTGCTGTAATCCTGGGACAGTCCCATAGAATATGAAAGAGTTGGAAGGCATCCTGGCATCACTGATCAATAGCACTGAAATTCTGAGAGTAACTGCACTGAATTTCATATTAGCACCTGATGACAACCTCATTTTGGGACTGGGACAATCATTCTGTTTTCCAACCTCTAATCTAGAGACATTCAAGTAGTGACTAGAATGTCCATTGAAGATGAAGCCTATGTTTTAAATTGGATATTCTACATGTATGTGGATGGAAACATTGGATGCTTTATAGTTCTGTGCAATATCCAACATCTCCAGCAGTAGATACTACATTCCAAAGGCCCTGGGGACTCTTCTGTTATTCACAGATAATCTTTGTTGCAGACACTGTCTCTGGAGAAAAAGTGAGCACTTTCATCATCTAGCAGGTGCAAAATGTTCATTTTCTATGGACTTTTACACACTGGCGATATCTTGCCCACTGAATCAGGAAGCAGAGAATGACAACTTGTTTGCTACGCTGAAGATCTATGGTATGCATACTCAACTGGTCTTACAGGTCCGTGTGCCTTACAGTATTGCACATAACTGTTGGAGGTCCTTCCATTAGGTTGATCCACAGCTTTGGAATTTACTAGATATAAATGTTTGTTGTGTGCTGGTACATCAACTAAATTGTTATCCTAGGTTACTTCTAACTAATAAGGTAAACTCCCTGGACAGGAGGAAAGGATAAGTGATTTGTTTTTAACAGGGATAGGTATGCCTGTTTTAAATTGCTTGTGGTGTAATACATGTTTATTTGGCAGTGGTCTTTTGGTTTATTTTTTTTAAATATTATATTTTTAAAGAATTGTCAGGTATTGTGTTTCTTCATTACTATAACATTGTTCAGTTAAATCCATAGTAGTCCACTAAAAGTAGCAATTCTTTTTGGTGTGTGGTTTAGATAAGCTATCTACCAGGACCAGGAATACTATGAATATGATTTTCTGCTGTGTTCCTTAGGTGTTCTGCACCCTACCTCACTTTCTCCATTTTGGCAGTTCATAAACTCTTTAAGCGTAATAATGTGGCTATGACCCATTTGTTCACAACCCTACTATGTCAAAGACATATATATATATATATATATATATATATATATATATACACACACTAGGTTGCCAAAAGTATTGGGACGCCTGCCTTTACACGCACATGAACTTTAATGGCATCCCAGTCTTAGTCCGTAGGGTTCAACATTGAGTTGGCCCACCCTTTGCAGCTATAACAGCTACTCCTCTGGAGAGGTGGTCCACAAGATTTAGGCGTGTGTCTATGGGAATGTTAGACCATTCTTCCAGAAGCGCATTTATAAGGTCAGGCACTGATGTCGGATGAGAAGGCCTCGCTCGCAGTCTCCTCTCTAATTCATCCCAAAGGTGTTCTGTCGGTTGAGGTCAGGACTCTGTGCAGGCTAGTCAAGTTCCACCACCCCCAACTCGCTCATCCATGTTTTTATGGACCTTGCTTTGTCCCAGTCATGTTGGAACAGGAAGGGACCATCCCTAAGCTGTTCTCACAAAGTTGGAAGCATGAAATTCTCCAAAATGTCTTGATATGCTGACGCCTTAAGAGTCCCTTTCACTGGAACTAAGAGACCAAGCCCAACCCCTGAAAAACAACCCCACACCATAATACCTCCTCCACCAAATGTTACATTTGGCACAATGCCGTCAGGAAAGTACTGTTCTCCTGGCAACCACCAAACCCAGACATGTCCATCAGATTGCCAGACAGAAAAGCGTGAATGGTCACTCCAGAGAACACTTCTCCACTGCTCTAGAGTCCAGTGGTGGCGTGCTTTACGCCACTGCTGCATCCAATGCTTTGCATTGCACTTGGTGATGTAAGGCTTGGATGCAGCTGCTCAGCCATGGAAACCCATTTCATGAAGCTCTCTACGTGCTATTGTGCTAATCTGAAGGCCACACAAAGTTTGGAGAACTTTAGATATTAACTCTGCAGACAGATGGCGACTTCTGTGCACTGTGTGCTTCAGCATGCGCTGACCACACTTTGTCATGTTAAGTGGCCTACCACTTCGTGGCTGAGTTGCTGTTGTTCCCAGTTGCATCCACTTTGTTATAATACCACTAACAGTTGACCGTGAAATATTTAGTAGCAATAAATTTCATGGATGGACTTATTGCACAGGTGACAATCTATCACGGTACCACATTTGAATTCACTAAGCGACCTATTTTTGTAGAAGTAGTTTACATGCCTAGGTGTTTGATTTTATACACCTGTGGCAATGGAGGTGATTGGAACACCTGAATCCAATGATTTGGAGGGATGTCCCAATACTTTTGGCAATATAGTGTATATATACTGTACATATATTTCTCAGAGAACAGAACTACCCTTTCCATTTCACCTCTTTTCCCCACCCCCTAAATACTTCTAAGCACTGTTCCTGGGTTACACCCGCCCCCCCCCCCCCCCAGTACCGCCCTTTTGGAGCATACAAAACCAAGTATCATTTTGTGGTGATAAGTAATTTGTATGGAATGTTTTCATGATAACAAGAAAAGCTGTAAAATAGATCCCCTGCAGCCAGCAACAATAGGCCCTAAACCCCAGCAACAATGGATCTCCCCTCAGCCAGCCTCAATAATAGCCAACAGTCATAAATAATAGACCCCTCTTTCAACAGTCAATTTATTCCATTAACAATTTATCCCCAGCAACATAGAACCCACCTCCAGCAACAATAGATCCTCCACTAACATCAATAGACCTCCCCAGCACAATAGACCCCCTAGAAAATATTTATCCCCCAGCAACAATAGATCCCCAGCAGCCAGTATCAATAGACCCTCCAGCACACCCCAGCATCCCTTGCCATTACATGCATTCATTACTGAAGGTACTGGAACTATGTTCCCCACGTACCCTCTGAAAAAAGCCCTGACAGTAACTATGAACTATATTGAGGGTACAATAACTGTAGACTGTGTACTTTGTATACAATATGTAGATTTAGACTGTATTTAACCATTCTGCTTAAGCCACACCCAAAATTAAGCACAATTTAGCAAAATAAATTTTTTCCATCTTTATAGGTTTTCTCCATCCCTATGTATCCCTCTTTTTTCAGGTTACAAAACTGGAAGGTACTGTATGTAAGTGTATAGTTCTTCCCCTTTAAATCTTTTACATTTCTTTCTGTTATTGATCTCTTTGTGAGGTTTCACAGAAGTACTATTAAGCACTCATGACAGCACAATTTAATTCCTTTTTTGTAATGATTATATTTTAAAGGACTGAAAGCAGTGGGGAATTACATTACCACAAAAAATTGCAGTTAATGAAGTTTTTTTCCCCGACAAAACTACTTCATTGCAGTGTAGACTAATGTGATTTTCATATAATAGTTGTTGGCATTTGACAGTTCTTTGTTCTTGTCTTTAAATTCCAGTGGGTATAGTTATATTTAAAGGAACTTTTCAGGAAAGAAACATGAGAGCAACCTTTGACAACTTGTTTGTAAAGATGCAAGTTATCCTGTTAGTCAGTACCAGGAGAGAAAGAGTTGAATAGACATTTAAGTTTCTTTTCATTATGGTTCCTTTTGTGGACAAAAATTTAATTTTGGAGATCCGGATGTATACAAATTTTTGAATAGACATAGTAATTCATGTCAACAAATCCCAAAAAATTTATAAAGAAATGAAGAAATGCATTTTTTTTTCATTCAGATGACATCACATGATGCGATCGTGGTTTGAGTCCAAGGAGATATGGATTCAGTTTTGAATAATTTGTTCCAGTTTTGAATAATTTGTTCAAATCGATCCGAATTTCATGCCATTCATTAATTTGGATGCACATGATGCCAGTCCACAGTGCCCAATCAGCTCATGACATTTCTCTTGATGAGTAGGACTAGCATCTGAAAAAATCTAATCCTTTTGATTCAAATCCATCCAATTTGATAATATATTGGATATATATACTGTATATATATACAGTTGCAAGAAAAAGTATGTGAACCCCTTGGGATTACGTGGAGTTTTGCATGAATTGGGTATAAAATGTGCTCTGAACGTCATCTAAGTCACAACAATAGAAGAACACAGTCTGCTGAACATAATACTACACAAACATTAGATGTTGCCATGGTTTAATTGCACATAACATGTAAACCTTCACAGTGCAGGGAGGAAAAAAGTATGTGAGGCCCTAGCTTAATGACTTCTCCCAGAGCTAATTGGAGCCAAGAGTGAGCCAACCTTGACTCCAATCAGTGTGATGATATTGGATGTGTTGCTGACAGCTGTCCTGCCCTTAAAAAAACACACACCTGTTTTGGGTTTACTGGTTTCAAGAAGCACTGTCTGATGTGAACCATGCAACGCAGAAAAGAGCTCTCAGAAGACCTACGATCAAGAATTGTTGACTTGCATGAAGCTGGAAAGGGTTACAAAAGTATCTCCAAAAGCCTTGATGTTCATGTGTCCACGGTAAGACAGACTGTCTACAAATGGAGAAGGTTTAGCACTGTTGCTACTCTCCCTAGGCGTGGTCGTCCTGTAAAAATGACTGCAAGAGCACAGCGCAGAATGCTGCATGAGGTAAAGAAGAATCCCAGAGTGTCAGCTAAAGACCTACAGAAATCTCTGGCACATGCTAACATTTTTGTTGACACATCTACAATAAGGAAAACATTAAACAAGAATGGAGTACATGGGAGGACACCACGGAGGAAGCCATTGCTGTCCAAAAAGAATATTGCAGCACGTTTGAAGTTTGCAAAAGAGCACCTGGATGTTCCACAGCACTACTGGCAAAATATACTGTGGACAGATGAAACCAAGATTGAGTTGTTTGGGAAGAACACACAGCACTATGTGTGGAGAAAAAAAGGCACAGCACACCAACATCAAAACCTCATCCCCACTGTAAAACATGGCGGAGGGAGCATCATGGTTTGGGGCTGCTTTGCTGCCTCAGGGCCTGGACGGATTGTTGTCATTGATGGGAAAATGAATTCCAGAGTTTATCAAGACATTTTGCAGGAAAACGTACGACCATCTGTCCGCCAACTGAAGCTCTGCAGAGGATGGGTGATGCAACAGGACAATGACCCAAAGCATACAAGTAATTCAACAAAACAATGGCTGCAATAGCACAGAATACGCCTTCTGGAGTGGCCCAGTCAGAGTCCTGACCTCAACCCGATTGAAATGCTGTGGCATGACCTTAAGAGAGCGATTCACACCAGACATCCCAAGAATATTGCTACACTGAAACAGTTTTGTGAAGAGGAGTGGTCAAAAATTACTCCAGATCGTTGTGCAGGTCTGATCTGCAACTACAGGAAACATTTGGTTGAGGTTATTGCTGCCAAAGGAGGGTCAACCAGTTATTAAGTCCAAAGGTTCACATACTTTTTCCTCCCTGCACTGTGAATGTTTACATGTTATGTGCAATTAAACCATGGCAACATCTAATGTTTGTGTAGTATTATGTTCAGTAGACTGTGTTCTTCTATTGTTGTGACTTAGATGACGTTCAGAGCACATTTTATGCCCAATTCATGCAAAACTCCACGTAATCCCAAGGGGTTCACATACTTTTTCTTGCAACTGTATATATATATATATATATATATATATATATAGCAATCTTCTGGAAAAACGGCAACATTTTTCAAGTCCACCTGGACCAATAAATATATGAAATTAATTCCAAAAGCAAATCAGGTCAACATAACGAACATGACAAAACTATATTCTTCAATGAATGAATGCATCCAAAACAAAATAAATATTTCTGGCATGCACATGTCTAGAGGTGAATTTCTTTTAGGACTCATTCACACTAGGACTGCTGCTTCTCTGAAAAGCAATCCATACTCAGATCATTTTTCAGAGGCATTTGCAGGCGATGAGGAGGTGTTGCCTCCTCACTACCTGTTTTAATCCCATGATTGCCACACCACTGCTCTGCAGCCGCATGCATTGCCCATGGTTTTAGGGTAGTTGCAGTGCAGCCCCATTCACTTGCTTGGGTTGTGTTACCACCCGCCAAAGGCAACAGGGGTATAATTCCTGCCGTGGTCATGCTGCAGTGGCATGTGTACACCCCTGGCTGTTGCCTCTAAAGCTAAAAGGGGATCAGAAAAAAAGTGGCTCAACTGCATGTATTATAGCCCCCCCAACCTCACATGTGAATGATCCCTAAGTACATCTAAGAACAGGGAGTTACTAATCTGTTCCAGAGATGTTTTGCAGCTTGGCACTGATTGGTGGATGAGTCTGGAAAGAAAATCCTTCATGAGACAGTCTGCACCTGACCAATCAGGAGTTTGCAGGCACAGATAAAAAGGTAAAGGCATAGCTCTCAGTTTAAATGGACTCTGTCCATCTGTCTTAGTAGTCCATATTTTTGATTTGATATAATGTCTTGAAAATTCAATATTTAACTACCAAACTCAGATAAGGATTTTTAAAAAAAAGTGACAGTTATTTTCAGACAAATTCAATGAGCTTTTAAAGTTATAATCACGTGAAAAAAAAAAAATCATTAGGCATTAAGTTTTAAGCCTTTCCACTTCTAAGTTTTTGCATTTGCTTTTTTGAAAAGACAATATAAAGGAAACATAGTGGTGATAAAACGCACTTGTGGGTTTAACCAATTTTTTTGTGTATATTAATTATCTGGACTATATATTCGGGGGTATTTCAGAGGTGTGTCTTTTGTCTACATGCTGTGCATTGAGGTTAATTTACTAAAACAAGAGAGTGCAAAATCTGGTGCAGCTCTGCAGAGAAGCCAATCAGCTTCCAGATTTTTTTTTTGTCACAGCTTAATGAACAAGCTGAAGTTCGAAGCTAATTGGCTGCTATGCAGAGCTGCACCAGATTTTATACTCTGTAGTTTTAGTAAATCAACCCCATTGTGTCCCTCTTTCCTGTCTCACAAGCTCGGGAGATATGGATAAATGGAGTTGTTCCGTATGGTGTAGTATGTTGGGGAGTTCTTAGTAAAATGGTCACTTGCACTGAGATTTACTATTGAGCAGTGGCTAAAAAGCAAGCGCCCAGAGAGGACATCTAAAATGTGTTCTGCACATGCTCAGTTATATCCGGCCATAGACACTGAACGGGCGTCTAGTTTTTTACTGTGTTGATTTTCTTTAAAAAAAACTATTTTTAACACATTCTTAATTTTTTTTTGAAATGGCAGATATTGTTTAACCTCCCTAACGGTATTCCCGAGTGTAGCTCGGGGTAAAATGTCTGTACCAAAAGCGGTAACCCCGAGCTACACTCGGGCTTACCATGCGGCGCTGCATAGGGAGTCCCCGCAGCACTTACCTTGTCCTTGGCTCCCACGATGTGTCCC